TAGATTTCTTAAGCTCAAAGTGTTATGAGAAAAATAGACATTCCGGATATTAAATAAAAACATACAAAAATAGAAAATTAGGTTTATCAAACAGTTTGTTAATTAGTTGCTAAGTAAATAAAGCAAAGAAACGGAAATTCCAATCCAATTCGTCATTTTTCTTAGTTGGTCACTGCCTAATCAAACACTGGAAACAAAAACCGTATTTTAATTGTTTAATTAAACTAAAAAAACATTGCATGAAATTTATTTTTAATTCATATTTTTAATGGAAAACTTTGGCAAAATATTTATTTTTTGAATACCAAAATATATTTGAAACAAATAATAAACAATCTAAACAGTTAAATTTAAAATCTTTAGAGCTCGCCATTTCCCAAAAACATATATTGAAATGAACGTTAAAATCAAACATAATAGAAGTATTTTAATAATTATGGATTATAAATTACAATTAAATGAAAAAGTTAGTTCAATATCAAATTTTAAGTTCAAGAATCGTTTTTTTTGTTTGAAAAGTTATTCAGAAGTTAAAGTTGATAAAATTTAATAAATGAAAGTATTGGAAAACTCGCATTAAATTTTAAGAAAAGAAATATTCAACACATGATTTGCATTTTTTGCATATTTATAGAGTAGAAAAATTGGAATATTTTTCTTACTTTAAAAATCGATTTTTTTAAATCACATTTTTTCTTTAAATTTTTTTTTTTATAAATTTCACGGGCAACGCCGGGCACTTCAGCAAGTTTGTTAATATTTTAAGCGAAGTCAACATATTCTACTGTATTCGAAGGTTTAGAGAATTTAGATGATTAGAGAGATTTAATAGATAAGGTATAGAAATTTAGTATAAAGTTACTAATCCAGATTTAGGACTATTTATACCAAAGATTTTATGCCACAAAATCTTATTTTCTAATCTTCCCGCATATCTTTACAATTTGATAGCGTAGACCTTGATATTTCAATCCTCGACTATTAGATCTATAACAATTCATACCCTGAAATTTCAAAGTTTTGGGACATTAGGTTGCAAACATGATTAGAAAACTAGGGCTTTATTTTAATCAGTTCCTTTAAGAAATAAGTGGGGGGTGAAGCTATAGGATTATTATAGAAATAGATTAAAGTCACTTTTTTATCAATCTCTAAGTTCAAAGAATCCAAGTTTGATTTAAAAAACCTTCCAAAGTTGACAAATTGGATTAATGCATTATATCAGACCCAAAGTAGAAGGCATTGCCTCCAGAGCTACAAATGAAAATATTTTTTCTTTTTTTACAGCTTTTCTTGTTTAGATTTCTTTAAAGAAAAAACATTTTCCTTAAAATAAATTTTCTTTGTAAAAAGTTTCTTTTAGAAATGTTCAAGAAACTTTTACAGAAAAGATTCAGTTACAAAACATATATTATTTAGTTGCTTTTCATAATTAAAGAAAAAGAAAAACGAGAAAACTTCTTCTTCTCGACATTTTAATTTTTTATTCTTTCTTAAACAATTATGGATGAAATCTAAATAATAAATGGTTTACATAAAAAGTGTTTCTCATTTTTATTTGCAGATATTTTAGTTTTCTTAATATAAGAGCACAACCCTCCCTTTACTATTCATCCCGAGGCTTCCCTGGCGCTAAATTACAGGATAAAAAAGCAACGTAAACTTTTATTTATTTTTTATTGTTTCTGTATTTTATTTTGTTTATACACGGAGCAGTACAGGGAATACCAAAAAACATGGGATTTAAAGATACTTGTAATTTCACGTGATATTCCATTTCAAGAGGGTATACACGATTCACAAGGGTACACTTTAATCCTTTATCTGATCCACAAGGGTACACTTTAATCCTTTATCTGATCCACAAGGATCCACAAGGGTACACTTTAATCCTTTATCTGATCCACAAGGGTACACTTTAATCCTTTATCTGATCCACAAGGGTACACTTTAATCCTTTATCTGATCCACAAGGGTACACTTTAATCCTTTATCTGATTCACAAGATTTTCTCCATTTTTGCTGTAGCGCAAGATATTTGCAAGTCATTTCTACGGAATTAAAAATACAAATTTATACGGAGAAATCACAATTAAAAATACCAATTTATACGGAGAAATCGCAATTAAAAATACCAATTTATACGGAGAAATTACAATTAAATATACCAATTTATACGGAGAAATCACAATTAGAAATACCAATTTATAATACGGAGAAATCACAATTAGAAATACCAATTTATACAGAGAAATCACAATTGAAAATACCAATTATACGGAGAAATCACAATTGAAAATACCAATTTATACGGAGAATTAAATAACAATCGAAAATACCAATTTATACGGAGAAATCACAATTGAAAATACCAATTTATACGGAGAAATTACAATTGAAGAATACCAATTTTCAAAGAGAAATCATTGACATTACATTAATGCATAATCAAACAAAATATAAAAATTATTAAAAATCACAATTTTGATCTTAGAAAGGGTTTAAGGGTACCGTTGTGAATTGCAATCTTTGCATGAAGGGTCACTTGAAATTTAACTAATTTAACTAAAAGTTAATAAGCACTAAATGAAGATTTTTTTGAATATATAGAAAGGTCACAGAAATCAAGGGAAAAAAAACAACCTCTTTTATTTTATCTGCTCCCTGCTTTGTGCTTTGTGCTTATTTTACCGTAGAAAACGAAGTTAAATTCTGTTAAAAAATCTGAATATTTTGGAGAAATCTGTTGAAACAAATTCTATATCTTCAGGGGACAGTTCTCATTTTCATATACATTCAAACAGGGGTGTAGCAAAGTCGTATGTTTTTTTTTGGCAGCCTTATTTCATATAAAAAAAATTTCAAACAAATATCCTTTATCAACCTAATAAGGCATCCGAAGAATGTTTGTACAAAATGATTTGTGTAACTGCCTAACTGAGGCAGTTCTGAAAAAGTTCCTTCCTGCACTGAAACCACTCTGGGCCGTAGTAAATTTGAATTTGAACAGGACCGGCCCAGTTTGTACCGGCCTGCCAGATAACAGCGTGTACTGACCCGATCCTATGACCATATTCTGTACTGTACGTAGCCCTATCCAGACTAACATACAACAGTGGTAAATTTTCTTGGCATAGTCCCGTCGGAGGGCTAACTATGACAACTCCCATGGGGCGTTCAGACTTTTTACAGTACTCGGCCTAATCCTAGGCCTATTTGACCGACCCTGCACTGGCTTAGTCCACCGTGAAATACATTTGAATCAGATAGGAAAAATATGACTGTCTTTCCAAAAGACAATTTACTTATACTTAAATCAAATCAAATATATTTATTTGTCTCACGCTATATTAAAAGACAGGTGTATTTATGTTGATCATACAGACTGGCAACAGTTTACGTATCTGAAAAATTGCTTATCTGACTAACAGTCAGTTTACCTATCTAAAAAATGTACTTTTTAACTGAAAGACAGTTTATCTATCTGAAAAACTGACTATCTGACTGACTATCAGATAGTTTACGTATCTGAAAAATTGCTTATCTGACTGACAGACAGTTAACCTATCTAAAAAATTACTATCTAATTGACAGACAGTTTACCTATCTGAAAAATTGACTATCTGACAGACTGTTTATCTATCTGAAAAAGATGCTCATCTAACTGACATACAGTTAACCTATTTAAAAAATTTACTATCTAACTGACTAACAGACAGTTTACGTATCTGAAAAATTGCTTATCTAACTGACAGACAGTTAATCCTATCTAAAAAAATTTACTATCTAACTGACAGACAGTTTACCTATCTGAAAAATTGACTATCTAACTAACTGACAGACTGTTTATCTATCTGAAAAACGGAATATCTGACTGACTATCAGATAATTTACGTATCTGAAAAATTGCTCATCTAACTGACATTTAGTTTTTCTATCTAAAAAAATTACTATCCAACTGACAGACAGTTTATCTATCTAAAAAACGGACTATCTGACTGACTATCAGATAGTTTACGTATCTGAAAAATTGCTCATCTAACTGACATACAGTTAACCTATCTAAAAAAATGTACTATCTAACTGACAGACAGTTTATCTATCTAAAAAAATGACTATCTGACTGACTAACAGACAGTTTACGTATCTGAAAAATTGCTTATCTAACTGACAGACTGTTAATCTATCTAAAAAATTTACTATCTAACTGACAGACAGTTTACCTTTCTGAAAAATTGACTATCTAACTAACTGACAGACTGTTTAGTGTTTATCTATCTGAAAAAGATGCTTATCTAACTGACAGACAGTTTACCTATCTAAAAAATGTACTATCTAACTGACAGACAGTTTATCTATCTAAAATTTACTATCTAACTGACAGACAGTTTATCTATCTAAAAAACGGACTATATGACTGACTAAAAGACAGTTCACGTATCTGAAAAAATTGCTTATCTAACTGACAGACAGATAACCTATCTACCAATTGACTATCTAACTAACTGACTGACTATTTATCATAGAGACTTAAAACAAATATTAGGGTACTGTTGTAATCGCTGCAGGTCTGTAGAGCGTTATTAAAAATATATAATTTTCTTATCATCAATTCAGCCATCATCAGACTGAAGCAAAATAAAAGTCGTCTTCAACAAGATTTTAAACGATTTTTTTTAATACTTGTGTAATAATTATAAATTGCTCCCTGTAATATATATATCTAATTATATCTGACATTACCGTAATAAAATAAAATATATAGCAATATTTCAATACAAAGATCAAATTAAACAGGTTTTACTCCCAGGACTTATACTGGTTAATAACTTGAAAAATATTCTCTTGAAATATATATATATATATATCTGACATAATTGAATAAGCTAACCAATATTTAGCCTTATTTCTGATATAAAGATCAATAAATAAAACAATTTTAATTCCCAGGACTACTAGTTAATAACTTGAAAAATATTCTCTTGAAATATATATATATACAGGGTGTCCCATATCAAATCGGACTAATTAACGGGCTCGTTTTTTGGACGACGATATTAATTTATCCATCGTCATTATAGATAAAACTCTGAAACTTGTAGCTTAGAACTCTAGCAGACAATAATTAACACGTCACATTTATTTAACATAAACATGGGGACCCTCAAGCAGGACACTTTCATCCGTGGCCTTCATGTTTATAAAAAGAAATTGTCTCCTGGGGACACACTAACTGTTGCACTAGATTGGTTTTGGATAAATGAAAATCCTAAGAGATACAGTGTTGCTGTTTTTGATTCAAAGCGAAGAAAGGTAAAAAGTTTCACAATTTTCTTTTCTTTCCCTTCCCCCCATATCATGATGTATACCATAAATATATGATACCTAATTGAATTATTGTAAATCTTTTGCAAAAATGTAGAACGAAAATTACAAAGGACCAACATATGTTATATTTTTTTCGGTAATTAACATCATTAAAGGCTTTCAAACTCGAGCAAGGAAGGAACCCCTTCCTCCCCCTCTACGTTTTCTCATCTGTTAACAACCTCCTTCAAATTTTGTCCTCTGTGTAGCCCTTAAACATTTTTGTGCAATTTTAGGTTGGACACATTGCTAATGAAATGGAGGTAAGCTTGAGACCGTTAATGGAGATTGGGAAAAAGGAAGTCTCTATCCAGATTCCAGCTGGGGCTAGGCAGCACAACGCGGGGGATTTGGGACTCCAAATCGGTAAGAATCTGAGCAAATTTCGTCTATTTAATTCCATGTTTCCAGAGATGAAATATATTTTTTTCAGCCTGCAAGCTGACCGTAGCCTTTGACAGGAAACAGGACTTCAAGTGGCTCCGAGACTACCGGGAGGAAGTCCGGAAGCAAGGCGGCGTGAAGTCTGATCACTCAAGATTTGTCTACCAAAGTTTTCCCAATCATTATAAACTGTCCTAAACTGAAATAAAAGATATTGCTAATTCATCTTGTTTAAGATTTAAAGGTGGGACCATTTGGCCCTTTTTAATAAACATGCACATATCATAACAGTTTCTTCAATAAGAAATCAGTTCACTAGTGCAACTGAAAATACTTTTTTCTTCAAATTACGCCGATATGGGTACCAAAAAATCCGTCTTGAAACACTGAACTTAAAATATTAAGATGAAAAAATTGGTTAGAAATAAAGGCACAACACGGACTTCTCAGCAGAAATTTTCCAGAGTCCTCTCAAGAAACATGTTTTTTTTGGCTCTCGAGAAAAGAATTTTCAAAATGTAAAAATAAAACAAATGGGCAATATTCAGTGGTTTGAGGAGCATCTTTAGACACCCAAATAAATATGGTTCGAAAGAAATTAAAAAACGACCACCATAACGATTTATAATTTTTTAAATGTGTGCACTGACCCATTTTACAAAAAAACTTTAAAAAAATTTCAGAATGTATTGTGTAAGTTTAAATCAACAATTGTTGATAATGGTCACAAATCAAACATTTTCTTGACATGAGCTTGGAACTTTTAATTGAACTCATTCAACCGTGCGTAAGATATTTTTTTCTAATATCAAACATGGTTGATCTAGAAGGGAGTTTAACCCCAGGAAATTTACCAGAGAACATTTGCTGAATCATCTGGACCCTTTGAGTCACTTTAACATGCGAAAATTTGATGAACATGTAGTTTATAAAAGTTCTTTGTTCAGCAGTAAATCTTAGTTCGGCCGCCATTGTTAAAACAGTAACTTTGTACTTTTGTACCAAATGAAATCCAGATGAGATAGATAGATATTTTGAAAATTAGTAAGCGCATCTCCAAAGAATATCGTCTTTTATGGAAAACGATCTCTTTATTAGTCCGAATTGATAGGGGACACCCTGTATATCTGACATAATTGAATAAGCTAACCAATATTTAGCCTTATTTCTGATATAAAGATCAATAAAACAATTCCGTTTTAGTTATTACTGTATTTTAATAAAGATATAAATCTTATCTACATTGAGAAAGCTTTTAGAGTATTTCACACTCCAATACCAGATATTGTTAAAGGGACTGTAAGTGTAGTTTCAAGTGAACCACATACTAAGATAGCAATACCAGATTGTGAACCATACCCCATAATCTACTCTGTTGTAAGGTCGTCTTTGACAAATTGTACCTCCGCTGGACGGAGGGTCCACTTTCCAAACCAAACATTTTCAAGGTCTCCGCGTAAAAGCAAACAAAATCCTCATGCAGTTAATACAACTTAAAGTTCATTGAAAAACAATTTTAAACATGATTCAAGTGAATCATTTGCAAACAAACAGTGAAATTCCTTTAACCCTATCCCTGCTGGGGTACTTGAAAACCAGGATACGCTGGGGGGGGGGGGTCAATTTGACCCCCCCCCTTTAAATCCCATGTTTTATGTCCAAATATGACAAATGATACATCATTAGAAAGCTCTCGTGCTCTACTTTTAGAATCTGCAAAAAAAATTGCAAATTTGCGAAAATTGAATTTTTTATCGCAAAATCCAGTTTTATAGTAAAAATGTTTGCAAAAAAAAATTTGTCCAAAAAATGACAAATTATACATTTTTGAAAAGCCCTTGACCATGCCATTTCAAATATGCAAAGATTTTTGCAAAATTTTAAATAACCTGATTTTTAATCAAGAAAAACTAAAAATGTGCAAATTTCCTTTGACAGGTTGTTTGCAAAAAATTTGCAATTTTTTTTTTCGCAAAATTTGTGCAATCCGTTTCCATATGTCATAGGCTTTCCAAAAAGCTAAATTTTATCAAAATCTGATAAGTGAAAGTGGGTCAAAACAAAGATTTAGTTTGTTACAGGCAAAAGCAGTCATTCAGGCAGTGTGCCTGAGGACTCAGGCAGTTAGTATTAAAGCCCGGTTTTAGGCCTAAAGGGAGGGCTTTGGGTATGTAAGAAAAGTCAGAAAATTTCAACAGCCTCAGACCAATACTTTTTGAGTTATGTAAAAAAAACTACAGGGGGGGTCAAATTGACCCCCCCCCCCAGCGGGAATAGGGTTAACCAAATGAATATTTATTTCAGAAGATTAAAAATTGCTTTAGACTTCAATTCAAACAACAATTCCCATGCCATGCAACTCTAGATCGTAAGTTCCTTATGTTTAATTCACAACAGTACCTTTTTAAACCTTTTATTTATCGATTCACAACAGTAATAAAATATAATCCACAAAACCTGCAAAACCTAGAATTTCAATACCTTTCAAGCCTTTAGTCAATTCTCAATGGTACATGTTTCTAAACCAATTGTTCGATTCTCATCAACGCCCATTTATTGTTAATTACCCTTAATGTTTAATCTTGATTACCAATCATTATTTATACACATGTACGTCAATAACAATTTGTATTTTGTTGTTGGAAACCTCGTTAATGAAATATATTTTTTCCAACAAGAAGTTCTCATCTATGCATGCATGAAGAGTCGAGTGTTTTAACCAGGGCCAGACCCTTAATCAACCTACCTATTCGGGGCACTACCCCTACCAGGGCCAGAGCCTTAATCAACTTACCTATTCGGGGCACTACCGCTACCAGGACCAGACCCTTAATCAACCTACCCATTCGGGGCAACCACCCCTATTCGCCCATTTCTAGCCATACTCCTTTTGATCGGTCTACACAGATATAGTTAAAGGAACTGTAAGTGTAATTTCAAGTGAACCACATACAAAGATAGCAATACCAGATATTGTTAAAGGGACTGTAAGTTTAATTTTAAGTGAACCACATACTAAGATAGCAATACCAGATATTGTTAAAGGGACTGTAAGTTTAATTTTAAGTGAACCACATACTAAGATAGCAATACCAGATATACACTATAGCATTGAAACCTTTTCCGGATCAAAAATGTTAAAGATAACGTCGTAAAAGTGTTTAAATTCATAATTGTTCAAATGATTTTAAGAAAGAAACGCACAAGATACTTTGCCGAAAATAACCACAAATGTAAACAACAGTTTTAAAGGACAAAAGCTTATGATATCAAATCCATACTTGAAAAGTTATTAAGGGTACCGTTGTGAATCGGACTTTGCCAGCTTTGCATGGAGGGTCACTTTAAATGGCGCACACAATCTCTTTAAGGATAAATTCGTAAAGATTTTTTTAGGTTTCTTGGTTTGATTTTCGAGGTTTTGTGATTAAATACAAATATTTAGAATTTCTTTCATCCCGGATTTATGTTTAACACTTCAAAATTATCGTCCCATAACATTTTCGTCAATGTTTATTACAGAACCTTCAAGGAATTTTTCAACAAAGCACCCCCCCCCCCATTCCCCTTACCCCAATCCTTTCAGCTCATATCTTTTTCATGTCCCTTTTTCCCCCTTTTATCTCCTGAACAACTTCCGTATTCTCAAGAAAGTGATTCAGGACCCCTCTTTTCGCTAAACTAGGAACGGTTACGCTAACACTGTAATTAAAGCGGAGTATTATTCCAACTGACGTTTATTTAGAGTTCTATGATACAGGTTAAGTTAATTAAAGTAATTACAAGTTTTACGTAGTTGTTTACAAACAGAGTTAGTTTTTGATAAGCGTAGTTAGGTTTAATCACAATACAGGTTTGACGTAGTTAGTTAGGTTACAAAGTACAGCGTAATTTACCTAGGAGTGTTCAGGTTTATAAATATGAGGATTAATACGAATTGATTTGATTTCTCTTCGATATTTCGTGGTTCTCATCCTGCAAGGATAGCTTTAAAGAAGAGATCAATTTTGTATCCTCAAAATTAAAATGCTCAAGATCTAGCGTTCTAGATTATCGATCCTCTAACCAAAAGTTCCGACCTCTGAACATATTTATAACTAATCAGTAGTTCCGACCTCTGAACATATTTATAACTAATCAGTAGTTCCGACCTCTGAACATATTTATAACTAATCAGTCCGTTTCCAGAATTAAAAATTACAATTTCTTCAGAGATATTCTTGAATTAAAACAGTGTAAGAAGATAACACATACTTCACATGTTTTTAGGTTAACATTGTACTTTCTAACACCTCCCCTCCCCCCTCCAACGCTCTTTAAGGCTCCCTCCTCCTGACCTTCCCCCCCATGTCCCCTGACTTGTATAAGAAAGGTGTGCCTGTAACATCGTGTAATCTGAGTATAAATAATGCAATTCTCCCGTATACTCCATCTTCTCTGATATTTGCTGAAAACAACAGGAGGTCTTTGTAAACATCAGAATAGATGCTAAAG